CGTCTCTTTGGACGCAAAGACATCTGCTTCCAAGACCTGGCCGATAGTCCCAGCTGCCATTTTCCGGCCAAATTGCTTAGTGCAACAGTCCTCTTTCACATTCCATAATTGAACACGAAAGGGTGCACAGGCTAATTCATCAAAAGTGCGTCTGGGAATGGATGGCGTCCATGACCGGAGATGGAAAATTCTGTCTTTGACTATCCAGGGCGTTCTTTTCAAGATCCACACCCTTGTTTCATCGCTTGGAAGCACCACCTCAAATACGCCAAATTGCGTGAGTGAAACCCTAAGGTTGCCTTTCACTCTCCATGCTTCAACAAGCCCCTCTTTCAGCTCTGCAGTAGTGAACGTGGCCTCTGAAAAGAGCCGTCCCAGCAGGGTCCTAGAGGTACGAAACCGCACAGATTGGACCTCCTCAAGTGAAAACTCGACCACTTGATCTTCCGCAATTCGCGACATCGTGCTTACCTGACAAGCACAGATAGACAAATCGTTAGAAGCTCTAGGCAAGGTCGTTTCAATTGTAGGGGTTGATGATATTAAATCAAGGGGGGTAATCAAGGTATTGTTATTAGAAAAAGAAGTAGCTTTAAAAACCGATTGCATCCCAAGGGATTTTAGGTCAAAAAGCAAACGCCCGAAGACAAGGGTAATTTGCCCAAAAGAATTGGGGCACGCGGGACCCACCGACCCAGCCAAGGAAACTGGCGGCGGCTTTCCGGCGGAACTCTGTCGACCACGAGGATTCTCCAGGGCTTAGGGGATCGGCGCAACCTCGCCAGAAGATAGGAGAATGGAGCGGACCCCTGTACCTGACACTGCAATCACCGCCCTCTGCTTACTGAGCTTCCCCGCCGGTCGCGTCTCAGCCGAGGAGACCGTCACTGGTTCACTGCACAAATGAAAATCAGCTAGCGTCGGCCATTGTGCAAACTCGTCATGAGATGAAAGAATGGGACGAGTCCCGTTAGCTGACTCAAGTAGCGTCGCCGACCTCTGCACAATTGGATCAATCACCGACCAAAATGCAGGCGAAGATTCTCCAGGCTGCTCTTTGCACAATGGGGGATGAGCCCGAAGCAGGGGATTTTAAAGGGTCGGGGCCCTAAGTTCCCCAGGGGAAGACATAATTCCCAGAGGCGTCTGTTAATTAGATTTCGAGTTGGGTTAGGAGGCTTCTGTCGATGGCCACCCAAATGACTTCGGATGCGGATCTTCGGGCCGAGAATCTCGCAAAACCGACTCTGGATTTTTGGATTAATCCTAATTGGAAACGGTAATATCATGCTCGGCCACACCCGCCGGCTCTGGAGATCGGCAGCAGCAGACCCGAAGTCACTCCGAGCTTCGCCGGAGCTGGTTTGGGATGGATTGATTTGGCTCGTCTCCCTCCTGTACCCCGATACCACGCAGGGATGGCCATCGCCCAAGAGATTGATGCAATCAATTGAATTTTCACTTCTCAATTTCACGGGGCAAAACCCCTCCCCGAAGGGACTTGACAGATCGAATCAACATTTTCCAATCTCGATTTCACGGGGCAACACCCCTCTCCGAAGGGAATTAATCGATCTATTTCACCCTGAGATTCAGGGAGCTCGATCCTATCCTCTGTTTTCTCCCCCGCGAACAGGGCTCTTCCAGGTTCATCTTCCTCCATTTCGAAAGAATGAGGAAGCCAGAAACACCATAAGGCAGATGGTTCGCGCCGCAGTCTCTTGATTGGGCGTTCCTCCTGGTCTTCCATATCCGAAAAAGGCGACGGCCTCAAACATTTCTGCAAGCATCGCCGCGTGCGACTTTCCACCCTCCGAGCGTTTTTTACCGGTAACGGAACCCCGACAGCGGGGAGGCGGAAGCTATTTGCCATTGGATCTCCTTATACTTGGAACAATCCGGAGTCGGAGTATAGAGGCCGACACTGACTTTTTGATTCCTCCAGCTCGCCTCGAAGAAAGCGACGGCGGCCCTTGCGATCCACCAACCTAGCAACGAGCACAGGAGGAGGAGAGAGGAGAGAGCTCCTCTCATCGGAATTTTTTTTTTCAAAAAAACAATATGCTTGAGAAGGCCCTTCCGGTTATGCTTTAACAATGACAAATATTAAATTTTTCTCCTCCTCGTGTGATTGACGTTCTACCTTTTGCTTCAACATTTTTTGTGATTTAAATTATAGTTACTAAAATATTGTATGTGTATGTTACATACAAAATATATATGTGCATTTTCCTTTGTCTTTAAAATAATGGTATGTCTATTAATTAAATAGAAAGTCTTATAGTATATGAATTAAATTTATAATCAATAAATAATTTATAATAATGGTCAAAGTTATCTATTTAATTCATTAAATACAGATATTTAAATAATTTATATAGATGTTATACTAGTTTAGTACGTGAGCTATCAAATGGACGTGAAAAATGAAACGACAAGGAAATAGTACAAAACAAAAGTTGTAAAAAAGTAAAAGAAGTGTGTCCATATATACACATATCAAGTAGAGTATTTAGTAACTATGCTTTACATGTTCTAGAAAAATATATGTACTTTTTGTTTTTATTTTTTGTTCCAATATTTTCTAAGTTAGATCCTCATTAAAATAATAATTGGGTTTTTGTATAACCTTAATCTAAAAGCACATTTTAATTGTCACATTTGAAATTATTAATCATCATACTTTGTCTAATCTAATGATATAGAGTAGAGGTAAAAATAACTCATTTTCAGTGAAACTTTATCCATATAATGATATTGTGAATGCAAATCAAAAGGTGTGACTCTAAAACGTTGAGATATTTACTAAAAGTGTTGGTATATATATCTTCCAACATTTTTTGTCATATATGAAAATGTGAGTATAGAGCCTTATGACTATATGTGTCCTGTTTGAGGTTTCCTTGTAACTAATTTTGTTTATTTTTAACCACCATCTATATTAGAAAAAAGTACCGGAACATAAGAGTAAAAATCAAATAATAAACTTTGTGTAGAATAGTTCAGGTGCCACAAAATAAATAAAAAACATTAAGCAACCTTAATTAAAACTAAAATGGCCAGAAAATGTTTCGTTATTTCCAGTAAACACTAACAGACAACAAATAAAAAAAAACCGACTATATATAGTTAAGCCGGCACATGAGAATATCGTTTCATTTTTTACGTACATTTGATGTATCCTATACTAAACATGTATAACATCTATATAAGTCATTTAAATACATGCATTTAATGAATTATATTAATAACTTTGATTATTATTATAAATAGATTTATCATAAAATATTTAATTTCATACATTTCATGAATTTCTATTTTACTCTTAGACATACCATTTAATTTAAAGACGAAGTAAAATAGCCCCGGTTAGTATGCAGATGCCCCGAGTTGTTTAGTAGGCCCCGCTATTGCTCAAGCGGCACGTGGGGTTGAGGTTCTCTAGGTTATCAAATAAATAAAGAAGACGAAGTATAATACAGTTACGTAACATATACATTCTAATGTTTTAGCAACTACAATTTGAATCGCCAGAAAAGATGAAGCAAAAGCTAGAACGTCAATCACATGAGCAGAGAACATAATTTAATATTTGTCATTGTTAAAGCATAACCGGGAGGGGGGAATAGAAACAAGCAACAACCGGTCAAATAGTGACGGTACCGGGGCCGTGCCGGCACATCAAAATTCCCCTTAACAAACCCCCCAATGAAACAATTAATCTCATGCAAACCAAAAAAATAGAAAAAATGCCACCAACTAAAGGTCACACACTTGCGTGGCAGCAGAGGATGTAGAGTTTTTGTGGGTGAGCAAAATATAATGACTGCTGCTCATATTAGCAAACTCCTAATGATACAGTAAGACAGTTATATGTTTAATAATATTCATAGATAGATAGATAGGTATGGATGACGATGGAGATTGGAGGGAGCGTATCAGTGCATGGCTTTATAGCTCCGTATATAATCTGCGTTTGGGCTGTTTCTTTAATGCCAAATGCTAAACGATATATAATCAGTAGACTAGTAGAGCCAAAACCAAACGATATATAATCAACTTCTTGTTCAATCGGAAACCTGGACATAGAAGTACAAAAATTCCAAAGTACGGAATTTTGAAGTTCTTTCGTTTGTAAAACATTTATGGGAATGACCATTAACATATATATTTTTTAATATCGGGTTTTGTAAGGTGAATAAAATAATGACGGATCTAATGCCGATGATAAAGAAAAAATTATGAGTTAAAAATAAGTGGACTTTTTGATTAATGAGTTTATGATAGATATTGAGTGTGTTTCTATATTATTTGATGTATCTATGGTGTTGTTTTTTACTTTTCACGGTTATAAACCACATTCAAGACGAATATGGATCACCAAGGGACCCAATGGATCAGATTTAGCTCGATAATACAAGCTCATGGGCCCAAATGCAGATGGATTCTAGTATTTCACTATAAGAAAACTAGGTTTCGGAGACAGAGGTTATTTGCGTCTAAATGTCCCTTATTTGCTTATGTATGTCTTTCGATGCAAATATGTTATTTGAATCATTTGCCTCTGTCTCGGATTCCTTTTAGAGACAAATATAGATACAAATAATATCCACCTCTAATAATGGAATTGGAGACAAAAAATTTTCACTCTAGTTATATGCTTTGAAGCAAATAATTTTGCTTCAACTAAGCCTTTAGGGAACACATAATATATTTTGGGTAGAGATATAATGAGCTTTAACAAAAATAAGAATACTAAAATTAATATGCGATTTAAGTAGAATTGAATACGCTAATTTTATTAAATTAAAAATAGAGTAAAAATACAATATGAATTACCCTAGCATAGCAATACATTAATCTCTGTCTATCCAATCACGAATTAATGCTAAATAACATAATTCTAGAGGAATTGAGTGTACAAAGATACACGAAATTAAATACATAAGCAAATACATTATCTAAAATTTATATTCTAACATGGGCCACTTCCAAAATATCTTTGTGATTATGCTTGCACAGTTGTTGTTTACTTGTCCTTGCATCGAATGAAGTGTCATTTACTTCCATTTCCCATTTGATTTGTTCAAAAGACAAACCAGCCATGCCTGCACACAACAAACTCAATTTTGAGTTCACACATATATAGAAGTGTTAGGCAATAACTCCCCTCACTATGAATCTATCCGCAATCCAATAATCAGAAATGCTCCTATATAAATGATCGAGCAACCATAGTCTAATTGGCAAACATTTTCCACTTCTGGCAGTACTAACATGAATGTTTGTTACATGAACTATTTAAGAAACCTGCAAACATTAAGCAAAAGGGAGGAGCTGATAAAGTTTGAGAAAATGAAGCTATGAGTGGCAACAAGAAATCGAAGATATGAAGAAATTGACAAAAAAAAAATAATAATAATAACAACCTAGCTAGGTAAGAGCCTGAAATTGACAAGAAAAACTGTTAATCCCAAATTGTAAACGGCTAACCTGGTAAGGTTTGAGAAAATGAAGCAACATTGGCGACGGTAACTCACAAGCCTGAATGTACTGACCACTCCAGATTGAATGAACATAGGTAGAGATGAAAATTTTCAGTTCCACAGACCTAACTGTAACTCACAAGCCTTCGCGAATGAAAACTTCTCAAGGAAAAAATTAATGAAATCGAGAAAATGAAAAACAATGGCGACGGAGCTTCCGTCATAGACTACGATGGAGACAAGGCAACGACTGCAGATGTGGCGGTGGATACATAGTCTCCTGCGTCGGCGATGGCGGAGAAGATGATTCCACGGAAGGAGGGAGGGTTTGAGCTTGCTTCCGACGGTGGAAGACAAACTGGAATTTAGGAGGAAAAGGACGAAGTCCAAACGAGCTGAATATTCAGGAGCAGGTCCATAAGCCGAAGGGGAAGTTTCCCACCAAAAAATGGCTAATTTGGAGAAGAATCAAGGGCGGCAGGTCCCACTATCATGGGCACCGCCGCCTTTGGCCTATCCTTCCAGGAAGCTTCCTTTGTAAGTAACTTTGTCTACAAGTTGAAGGAATCCTAGTTCAAGTCATACAAAGACGATTTTGACCAAATTTAGGAGGAAAAAGATGAGAAATTAATCCCCTTCTCTAACTAGTATAAATGGAGGCACATGCCTAGATTTTAGGACATACCTTTTATCCAGCACTCTATCCTACTAGGCATGAGTAGAAATCGATAGAAGGAGGAGAACTGGTATTGAGTTTCCGAGGAGAAGCATTCATCATCTATGCTTGGTGATTTTGTTCCACTCTTATTTGTATTGCAAGTCGATCTATTTAGGAATGTGAATTTTATGATGATTGTGTATTACTTTCTTTGAGTTTATAAGATATTTTTCTCATTTTATATTATTATCATCTATGCTTATTCCTTTAGATTTTTTTTATAATGGTTATTAACCTTTAGATGTTTTAGTACACGAGAGATGATTAAAGCATCTAGAATTCATGTATTCTAGATGCTTTAATCATCTCTTGTGTACCATCATCAATTCTTTATTTCATCTGATGTTTTAATACTCCAAGTGTGTGAGTCTGTGATGATACTACTATAGTCAATGTTTATACTACTATTATGGGAAACAAGGAAACTAATCTGGTGTAGTATACATCCTTCTTAGACATGAATAGAAGGATTAGCTACCCTTCTATGCATGAGTAAATGATATTTGATTATTAAATCATCGATGTTATAGACTATGGTTGTGGTTCGTAGAAGCCCACAATTAACTGTATGATATCCTAACGTCATTGTTCTTTATAGATTAAGTGATGTTATTAAGTGAAAGTACACATTAGTTAGTCACATCTCTTTCGCAAGAGGCACATGCACGGGTAGAGTTGCCTTGAAGTAAGTGATAGGATATCATGATAGATTATGCATACATGCATCTTATTGAGAAGAATTATATGGATGACTATATAGAAGGAACTACCTAAAGAAAGAAACCGTTTAAAGGTATCAGTAAAATGCTAAAGGTGCATTGGGTATGTTTATATATAGCCGACGATGGAGGGAGCACATAGCTCTGTAATTAGGGGTGTCAATTCAGGTTTGGTCTTTCGGGTTTACCCGAAACTGACCCGATTATAAACATTTTCGGTTTTTCGGGTTCGGGTTCGTTTCGGGTTTCGGGTTTTTCGGTTTCGGGTTCGGTTTTTCTTATCGGTTTTTCGGGTTCCGGCTAAAAACCTCCAATGAATAGAACTCAGCCCGTATTTTTAGGCGTTCGGATTTTCGGGTTTTCGGTTTTGCTTTAACCGAACCCGAACCCGATATGGAATTTTTGCGTTTCGGGTAACCCGAACCCGCAAGTCCTTATTGGGTTCGGGTTCGGTTTTAGTGATTTTTGGTTTCTGGTTTTCGGGTTTCGGTTTGGGTAACCGAACCCGACTCGAACTGACACCCCTATCCGTAATTAATCCGCGTTTGGGCTTTTACTTTTTCTTGCCATAGATATCTCAAGAAGGGAAGGGCAGAGGCATAATTTAACAATATACATGATCTTTGCAGGTCAAATCTTCAAAACAAGAAGTAAAGACCTTTGCAGGTCGGACAATAATAGTGCTTTGTTGACACAATATGAAGAGCGAGTCTGAGAGGAACGGGGACCTGTTGCGTCGAGAGTTCGAGAAATTCACAAAGAGAATGGAGGCGCTTGTCACTGGCGGCGTCGAATGGGAGAAGACTGGGGCGAGGCGGATTCCTGACCAAATACCGCCCGAGGAAAAGCTCAAGGGCTCGGTGTTAGCCTGGGAGGCACTCGCCGGGGATGAAGACGGTATGGGCAACTAGACCCCACCGCCGAAGGGATCGACGACGAGCAAGGAAGGGAATGGGCAAGCTATTCCGCTCACCGGGATGGCATGGGGAAGTCTAGCGTTCGATGCAGAGGAAGGGGGGAAGGCGAAGACAACCATGAGGTACGAGGAACGGCCAGGGCGCAGAGCAGCGGTCGTTGAGGGAGGCGCGGTGGCGCGGGAGAAGCCTGGTTGAGGCAGGTGAGACTCGGGATCGGAGGGAGGCGGAAGAGAGTCTGTCAGCAGGCTGGATCTCCACCACGAACAGGCCGAATGGGTAGAGGACCTTGACTGAGTCGTGTTGGGCTTGGTGCAGGCGGGGCGACGTATTCGAATAGGAACCGGTTGACTGGATCCACTCGGATGACCAGACCTGGGCAGCGACCAGAGCTAGGTGAAGGGGGAAGGACTCGAATCAGCGAGGAGTCGGCTACCGCGTGGTTCAAAGGCCGAACTGCGATCTTGGAATTCCCCAAATTAACCGGACAAGAAGAGCTTTCAGGATGGATGGCTCTAGTTAAGAAGTACTTCAGGTATTAGGACATTCCCGAAGAGCAGAAGGTAGCATTGGCATCGTTTCACATGGAGGGAGATGCTAGTCAGTGGATCATGTGGATTGAAGAAGAGTTTGCCCAGGAAGGAATGGTGATGACATGGGAAGACTTCCGTGCAGAGTTTTGGAAAAGGTTCCGGGCACCAGAGAAGGCGGCGGGACACGAGGCCCTGGCCAAAATTCGACAGACATGCACTGTTGAAGATTACCAGCAAGCTTTTGAGAGGTTACTAAACCGCTATCGCGGATGGAGCAAAGATGCGGTGATGGGTACTTACATGGGGGGACTCAAGCCCGAAATCTCGGCGTACATTCGCGCATTCGAGCCACGAAACACTGGCAATGCATACCGCTTGGCAAAAATATGTGAAGAAGAAATTAAGTTGGAGTGAGGAGCCACGAGAGGGTCACGCGCACATGGCACAGGGGGCCACGAGACGACTGACAATCCAGTACCACCGCCGATGCAAGCCCCACCGAATTGAGCGCCGCCACCAAATAGGAGGCGAGTCTTTAGGAATCTGACTCTAGAGGAAGCTGCTAAACGCTGTCGTGATGGCCTTTGCTATAACTCTGATGATCGTTTCACAATCAGCCATCACTGCGCTAACAATCAAGTGTTTTCTTTGATCGGGGATTTCGGCCGTGATGAAGGAGAGTGGTTCGAGGAAGATGTGCGACCTCGGGACGAGATCTCTTGAAGGTGGGAGGATTGATGAGTTCACGTTTTCTTACCATTGGGTTATTAAACTAATTTTGGTTATTATTATTATTATTATTATTGTTTATTGGGATATTCTTTTGGTTGTTTTTTGCTATTATTATTTCTTTGTTAAGGAAGTAATCGGTTAGGAGTTGGTCTAGGATTGGGTTTCCATGTTTGAGAGGGAGAGGGTTATGGGACTTGTCCTATAAATATGCACTTTACCTCTACGTTTTATTCACCAGAAAATGATAAACCAGTTATTTTAGCTTTTTGATGACTCGGTATTTGCACATGTTTTCCCCTTTGTTTCTTGATTGTTTGAGCTTGAATTATCGTGTCTTTGGTCTATTTTATGCTAGGTTGTGTTCCTTTGTCCCATTTCAGGTCCTAGCACATAAAGTGAAGCATAGGCGCCAGTTTCAAGTCAATCAGAGATCAATTGACGATTCGAGAGAAGAAACTCGGGCATGACCTGAAGAAGAATGGATTTCTACCTCACTTTATGGACAAAGATTCATGCAAGCTTGTTATGAAAAGAAAGAGGACAAGACTACGAGCGTCTGGGATCAAACGGCGACTGAATCAGAGGTCAAACGAGCTCAAACGAGATCAACGAAGCTTAGGAGTGCATGCTGGAAATTGTGCACGGCCAGAACCTCGATTTGCACGGCCGTGCAAGTAGGGGGTGCGAGTTTCAGCGGTATAAAAGCTGTTTTGCGATTTTTGGAGAGGGAGAGCTGGGTTTTGGATCCCAAACACCCAAGGGACGAACCAAAGAAAGAGAGGGCGATTTGAGGGCATTCTTGGAGTGGAATTGGAGGATTTCTTCGCCTTGGAAGCTCGAGGAACAAGCCCGGACTTGAAGACTGATCATCTGAAGATTCTTACTGCAGTCTCTCTCTTCTCTATGGAGTAACTTCCCTTCACTTAGGTTTTGAGGAACCCTAGCTATGTTTGTTTGATTGGATGATTGTATGAGTACTCTTACTTGATAATCTTGAGTTCATATTCAATCTATGCATGTTTTCATGATTCAATTCTGCTTTAGTCGAGATTATTGATTCTGCTTTGATCCTATGAGAGCGAATACCTAATTAGGTCAATAGAGCACCATAGATTGATAGTATTTGATCGATTGCTTTAGTCGAGGGTTGATTCAATGCTTTGTATCGATTGAGAACCTCATTCGATAGTGGGAATCTAGTTCAGAACGCCTTGATCAGTTGTTCTAGAGAAGGATACGTCCCTCTAGGCAATTGACTCAAGAGGGCCTTGTTCCTTTAGTCGAAACTCAAGGTCTAGTTAAGGATTCTCCGCACTGTGAATGAAAGTGAAACAGTTAAGAGATCATTAATCATTAATCTGGCTAGTGGCTAGGGGGAATCATACCTAAGTGAGTTCCCAACCTGTAATTAGATTAACTTTAACTGTAGTTTGCTAGAGTAGTTTTAGTTCTTTCATCTTAATCTGTTTTGCTAGATAATGAATTGAAGCTGAGTAATAGTAACTCTAGAGACCCGTGGATTCGATATTTATTACTTGTGCCACTATACTGCAGTCCCTTTCATTGGTTACACTTGGCCATTGTTAGGAGTTGTGTTTTAGCGAGTCAAGTTTTTGGCGCCGTTGCCGGGGACAATCTAGATTATTAGGAAAGGCAGAAGTTTGTTATTTTAGCGTTTTTCTTTTCTTTTCCACCCTTGCTTTTCACTTGGGTGTTTTCATTTTTGTTGGTGCAGATCTGAATCATGGATCCTCATGGCTTCTCCAACCATTGGGGGTATCCACCACCATCCGAGTGGTATTAC